AGAGCTCACAATTATCAAAGGGAGATAATTCAATTTCAAAGTTATTGTCTGCTATTTTAATCAAAGAATTCTCATATTTATAGAGAGAATACCAACAAGGTTTTAACATGCCTTTTAAAGTTAGATGTTATATTTCTTATTTCTGTGAGTAACATGAATTGAAGTAGCCGCATTTCTTTAAAAAACTTTCCCAAATATTGCATTTTTTCACAAAAAATCAACTTTAGACACCGTTTCCATGGTAACTACTCAACATTCATATGATCTAACTATATTTTTTGAAGTAGTTTATGAGGTGGTACTTTCCAGCCAAATTTGAAAAAAATCTGTGACTATGCGTGTCACAAAAGTTTAAGTGGTTACAGAGAATGGGTATTAAAACCTCACCTACATAAGTATTCAGCTATGCATATAAAAATGCATTTCCAGGAGTGAATTCGTACTTTCCAGTGTGGTTAGGTTCCATATTTTTTTAATTAAAAAGAATGCTTATCGGGATGAAAATTTCCGCAGTAAATAATGTTTTTAAAATGTAAAATTTAGAGGGAGGGGTAATGGCTGTTTTCTCTTTTAAGCACGTGTTACGTGCACCTGGCGTGACATTCGTTTTTATATTAAAAAGAAATTATATATGAAGCATTGTCATATGTAGAGTTTTAAATAACACCTAATTTCTCCTATAGAATCTAAGAAGTTTCCCTGAAATATACCTTCGGAAACAATGACCAAAATATATGATCCTCGTACATAATTCTGGACATAATAAATACAGATCGAGTGACGTGAGACGTGAGACAAAAATCATTGAAACAAGTCAGAATGAAAGAGAACATTATACTACATGTTAAAAGTATGTACATGTACTAAGTATACAATGCATGTCCTAATATGTAATCCATAAAAATACTCAGTCCAGTACATAATGCACTTGTCGTCATTCTGTTGAGAGGGTTACAGAGGGTGTACAAACAGTCTTGAATATGGGTTAATCCCACTGCATGTCTACTTCATGCTGGCTTACCCCCCCCCCCCTTCCATGAAACAGGATTTTCGAGTTATGGCATTTTTTTCTTGTCAACTTTTTTTCAGGTAAGTTAAATTTTTTTCTGGCAGCCCCCACTTCAAAAAGGATGCTAGGTCATTGAACAGTTGTGTAATTGTGGTTTGGTTGCTTGATTAAATGACACATTAAAATTAATACTCAGTAGCTTAGTTAGAGTTATTAACCACATGTTAAATATTTCATTAGTTTCAAGTTTTATTTGAATCAATTTAATTAATTTAATTTCTGTAACCTAATAAAAGTATAAGTTGCTTATACCCACTCCAAATCATGTATTATTGGAATACAACACAATTTAGAGATTTAAAAATTTTATTTTCATGATTATTCTCATCTTTTCCTAAAACGTGTAGGGTGTTTTCGTCTTTGATTAACTGATCGTAGGATTCATAATGTTGCATTATTATTCCAACAGATTAAAAATTAAAAAAATATATATCAATTTTTTCTAACTCTTTTTAGCAATTTTTTTTTAGAATGAATAATTAACAGTTCCTAAATTTCCCTCTAAATAGCAAAACCGTGCAAATTAGATATTCACAGATACCGAAATATCTTTGGAGGAAGTGGTGAATACTGAACGCTTCCCGTTGCCAGGTAACAATAAATAATTATTATGCAGGTGACTTCCCTTCGTTAGCGGTATTTGTACATCTTGACATGTTAAATAATTTAACACATGAAGATTATTTCAGACACATAGGAAGCGATTCATTTTTTATTTCTCTTTTTTTTTGGGGGGGGGGGATTCTTGACAAGCAATAAGAAAGCAAAACAAAACGAACTTTTTCATTCGTTATAGTATATTTTTCCGGCCAATTGTACCGAGGGCTTTGTTTTCTAACTTCTATTATATATTGATTAATTATATTTCTGTAACCTGCCTCCCCGTAATGTTCGTAATATTTTTATTGTTAGCTAGGAAATATTGAATTAAGGACAGATGACACAAACAAAAAATGAATGCATGGATAGGTATATATTTTTTTCCTAATTTCATTGCAAATGATGCAAATAATAAATTTCTAGAATATAAAGAAATTGTAAACCTTCAGTGATGTTCAAAAGTGTGCCCTTCTGAAACCATCCTTACTTATCTATACAAATTTTTTCACTTAAAATTACAGTTTTTTGCAACTTTGAAAAAAATGAAAAACCACGCGGTGAAAGTTATTCATTTTATTCATTTAAACATGACCCAAGTTGTTATTTTCAAATTTTTGGACAAAAGTTTGTTTGTATCATCTGTCCTTTAAATTTAATACTCAGTAGCTTAGTTAGAGTTATTAACCACATGCTAAATATTTCATTAGTTTTAAGTTTTATTTGAATCAATTTAATTAATTTAATTTCTGTAACCTAATCAAAGTATAAGTTGCTTATACCCACTCCAAATCATGTATTATTGGAATACAACACAATTTAGAGATTTAAAAATTTTATTTTCATGATTATTCTCATCTTTTCCTAAAACGTGTAGGGTGTTTTCGTCTTTGATTAACTGATCGTAGGATTCATAATGTTGCATTATTATTCCAACAGATTAAAAATTAAAAAAATATATATCAATTTTTTCTAACTCTTTTTAGCAATTTTTTTTTTAGAATGAATAATTAACAGTTCCTAAATTTCCCTCTAAATAGCAAAACCGTGCAAATTAGATATTCACAGATACCGAAATATCTTTGGAGGAAGTGGTGAATACTGAACGCTTCCCGTTGCCAGGTAACAATAAATAATTATTATGCAGGTGACTTCCCTTCGTTAGCGGTATTTGTACATCTTGACATGTTAAATAATTTAACACATGAAGATTATTTCAGACACATAGGAAGCGATTCATTTTTTATTTCTCTTTTTTTTTGGGGGGGGGGGGGGGGGATTCTTGACAAGCAATAAGAAAGCAAAACAAAACGAACTTTTTCATTCGTTATAGTATATTTTTCCGGCCAATTGTACCGAGGGCTTTGTTTTCTAACTTCTATTATATATTGATTAATTATATTTCTGTAACCTGCCTCCCCGTTTCTTCAAGCTTCTTTGTGATTTTTGGTACATAACGCTGTTTAGATTCTAGTTTGCAATAAATTTACACACCTTTGTATGAAATTCAACGCCTCCACTTTACACTTTGATAAGGTTTTCTATGCTTTTTAACATAAATATAGAAAGAATATCAATAAATAGTGACAAAAATAAAGTTGAATAAGAGTAGACCTATGTCCATTTTGTTGCTGCCCTAGTCTAAAGATAATATGCGATTTCTACCCCATAGTTGTGTTTTAGAAGTAAAAATGAAATGTTCCTCGAAAGTGAAAATGGAGGCGAAGATCATGGTATTAGATCGTTACTTCAATGGATTTTCACCTTCAGTATGCTGTAAATCATTATTGTTTTCCCAAATAGTAATAATTACACCTACGACTACTCATTATGTTGTTAAGTATAAGCATTTACTGTATGAATAAATATTATAATTACACTGTATTAATGAAGCGTCACCACACTGCATTTATTGCGAAATGCGGCAAACATTTATGACGTCAACTTTAGCGCTCGTTTTCTCAATAACATCATAATGCACATAAGGGTGGTTTTCGCTTGACGGTCATCATATAGGATATATACAATGGACATATAATAGCTACCTGTTGTGTATATGCAAACAAAAATACCTTCCTGGGGTACGCAGAGAGAATCAAGATTTTGATCTAAGGATAAAATATAGCTCTTTTATAATGTTCGTAATATTTTTATTGTTAGCTAGGAAATATTGAATTAAGGACAGATGACACAAACAAAAAATGAATGCATGGATAGGTATATATTTTTTTCCTAATTTCATTGCAAATGATGCAAATAATAAATTTCTAGAATATAAAGAAATTGTAAACCTTCAGTGATGTTCAAAAGTGTGCCCTTCTGAAACCATCCTTATTTATCTATACAAATTTTTTCACTTTAAATTACAGTTTTGTGCAACTTTGAAAAAAATGAAAAACTACGCGGTGAAAGTTATTCATTTTATTCATTTAAACATGACCCAAGTTGTTATTTTCAAATTTTTGGACAAAAGTTTGTTTGTATCATCTGTCCTTTAAATTTTCTCTATCTACTTTAATTAATTAAGTAGATGTATGCTCTGTAACCTATAATAATTATATCTGGTGATTTCTATGTCATTCTGCATTGTTTGATAAAATTCTTTTTGAATGAGTATCAAATATATACTAGAAATAATCCAAAATAAACTTCAAAAATTGCTAAGAGAAATTAGGAAATTAAGTATTGTACATGCAATGTTAGCTTTAGACATTTTGTCTATAATATTTATTTTTATTTCTTCTTCTTTGTTGAACTACATTTTCAGCTGTTTCTGATGTACAATGTTATATGCAGTGCCAAAATTGTTTTCTTTTTCTACTTTTTTCCAAAGGGACATTTTAAAAGAAATATATATTTTCTTTATACTGTATAAGTAGAATTTTTAGCGAAGATTTCATTTTGGCATTATTAGCGAGGGTGCTGACATAGCTAAAATTGAATATCACTAAAATTTAATTGCGTATTATTTGTAATAGCTTCTTTAGTTAGCATTTTAAAATCGCTAAAATTACTTCTCGCTAAAATTAAACACCAGTTTTTTTTAGAAGAAATCGCTAAATTTGCGTCTCGCTAAAATTTCAACTTATACTGTATATTCTCGATCCCACGTATAAAGTATTAAACAGACTTAGACAGCATTTTAAATTAAGGTGCCTTTATTTTGTTCATGGACTGTAGAAATATCCGTTTTTGTTATATGCGAGTTTTTAAACATGAGTCACAGCAGAAAATATCCTCTGTCGACTGGGTTGTTTGATTTTTCTTTTTTTTCAATCTCGAGAACTTGTTGTTAAACAAAACGAATATAGCCGTTTAGTGTCGGTTTTTATTTCCCAATAAAATCCTTACTTAAGATATATATTCTCAAATAATTAAGAAATCAATTCTTAAGTAACAAAGAAATTGAAGCAGCATGAAATCCGTATAACATGATGTATATTATTGCATGAAAATATTCAAGACGTTTATTTCCTGATAGAAATCTACACATCGACTAAATGAAACCAACATTTTATAATCTTTCTGTACAAAAACAATTGATAAAACTACATGTATTGGCATAATATTGACAGAAATTAATAAACTCAAAGGCAAAACTCAATGTTTTACAACGATCAAACATGAGTTGAATAAGAATGGATACAATTTAGCTTCTCATTTCTGGGTACTTTTTGATAATTTTGGTTTCAACTTTGTTCAATGAATTCAATGCCTACTTCAAAACAATAAATATTATTTTATAAGACAATTTTATATACATATCTAGAAAATTCAAACAGTACTTGTAATCTCCAATGCTTGTTCGGATCTAATATGACTGGTTTGATCATCAATAATTAATTTTTTTTAAAGGAACCCAGATTTCCATTGTATGCTCTATAAAAAGATGTAAACAGTTCATTTTATTGTTCCCGAACGGTACTATGACATCCATAATAAGGAATATTACGTAAGGTCTAATTAAAGAGTAGCACTCCATTCCTTGATAGTAATAAAGAAGATGCCCTGAAGGAGCTGAGGCCCATTACTTTTAAGGAATGGAGCGCTAGGAGTATATAAACCCGCGTAAAATCTACTTTTCTATATGCTTGTATTTTAATGCTTGTTAATAGATAATAAAAGATATTGATACGATGAACTGTAAATATATATTACATTTTTGTCGTATTCAAATTATATATAAAGTAAGGCTAGAAAAGTGTAGTGAAGTTAAAATATTCTTAGCCAATTTCCAACAGCTTCGATAGCTGAGTGAAATGGTACCCGACTCAAAAGGTCAGGGTATCGAGTTCGATTCCCACGATGGGATCAATTCTTAATTATTTTCTTAATGTGAAAACGACCTGAATAAAATTTTCTAAGTTCTTTCCTCGGTAAAGGCACGGGGGAAAATACAAACATAACAAATTCTGTTTTCAACGTAATATGCAACTCTCCATTCCTGAAAAAAATGGAGCGCGTAAAAAAAGAGTGACATCACAGGTGGTTTTTACTAAAGTTTCATTAGTTCTTCTTTTTAAATATTTTTTCCTCACTTTCATTGCTTTTACTATTGTCTTTTCAAGAAGAAATTCACATATTTTATAGTTGACGGCTGAGTTTTTCATCTTTTAGCGATGCTTGGAACAATCTGTAATAAACTCCATGGACGTAACACATGACATTCTATCTCAGTCTTCTGAGGGACATGATTTCTTGTTTTAATGATCCATTACTAAGTCTAAGTATTGCCTGTTAAAACAAAAACTTTTATGTAAAATTATAAACTTAAAGATATTGTATGCAAACGTCTTTTAAAGTTGTTGCAGTAAATTTGGGTTTGTTAGAAAATCTTAAACCGGTCAATTTATTAACAGCTACTTTATTCATTTAATCAATAAAAATGTATTCTTTTAAACAATACATATTAAATAAAAATATATCTGGTATGACTTTTGTGCACCGAATCGAAAACAAAACATCTAGTGGAATATTGAGCCCCTAATAAATCAAACCCTTAACCCATCATTGCTAAAGCAAAATTTAACACATAAAGAATAATACGTTTACCGGTTGATAGAAACATCTTAAGATTTTCATTAAATATTTAGTGATATAATTCATGTGTTTCATTTGTTCATAAACTGTTTATATTTTTAGTAAAGTAAATAAGGCAGGAATTAAAACAACAGTTGTAATCTAGCGTTTGTCAAATCGCTTATCCCTATCCTTAACCCTTATCGTGAAAAATAATTAAATATTGACGGAAAATTAAACAAGGACTGATATTTCACCTGAGAAAGATCTTTCCATTTTAGATCAAAGTCATCCTTCTGCAAGACATTGGTTGTCTGAGTTTTATGTTCCACCTCATTCCTATATATTCGTATTCTTTCTACGTCATCAGTTAAGAGCTTCTGTCCTATTTCAGGTTTCTTCCCCCAGCCATTGGTTGGTGGAAGGAGGTTTGGCCCATAGTTTCTCAACAACTTGTACATTGTGGTTACATCAAATGTGGAGGAAGTGGGAATCGATTTATCAGCTATGTGGACATTTCAAAGAAAAATCAATATAATTTAATTTATGAAAAGAACTTAAAAGTCAAATCACAGAAATCTGTTTTATTAAATATGCATGTTTGCTGTATATTCTTATGTATGCTTTTTTCTTTGTTTTGATATCTTTTACATAAGATTATAACTAAATCAGAATTTTTAGCTTCAACGTGCAATTAAAAATCGTAGACTACAGGTACATGTATATAACGCATTGGAGAAGTATTATAGTGACGCTTGTTAGAGTATGAAAAAAGATATATGTGGAAAGAGATCTATACATGTATAAGGTTTTGAAGCTTGTGTCCAATCCTTTGACACCCTGTCAAAAATGTGTACAAAACAGAAAAATGAAGAAAATATCGGGCATCACTACATTTATAGAATACCTGGAAACATCAGAATGCATTGATCTTGATTCATTTTATATTGTCCTCGTTGTAGATTGTCCTTGTTTGAAGTAAGTGTTGTAACCAGGTCTACAGGTGGAAATATTCTGTCAAAATAGAGCTGCAAAGCGTCTCTTCCTATCTTCGTGAGTTTCTCGAAAGACTTGAAATTCATTTTTTTCAATTCCGGTTCGGAGAGACGAGTGCATTCATCTTGATCCATTAGGTCATCCAAATCTGATAAAATATTTATTTTAAACCAATTTTTGGCAAAGAAGTATCCTTATGTTAACTACGACTCACATTGAATATGTGAAACTTATATCTCTGCTACAAAAAATCGTAATCTGGAGGAAAATCATTTAACTTAAGAAAACAAAGTTTTAAGAGAAATTTTTAATGTTTCTTTTTTAAACTCTACCACAATTTACATTTCTTTGAGATACCTGAAATCTCAGCTATAACATCCTCAAAGAAACAAAATATGATAAATATATTTTTATAAATACACATTAACAATGATAACGAAATACGTTTACAATAATTTATGATTATTTGTTCATTAAAAAATAATTCAAAATATCTCGCGTAATATGAATACAATTATTCGACATTTTCAACAATCGCTTTAATTTCGTTTTTTTTTAAAACGTGTATTGAACATATACATAGCAATGTTCATTGCAAAGCATTTACAATTCAACTTACTAGTTTCCAGTAAACAAGAAGAGCTGATTCACTAAGAACGTGATGATTGACCATCCCATGTCTTGGGCACCTTATTTTCCCTTTTTTGTAAATAGCTTTCTCTTCAACAAAGCAGTCATCGTGTTCACGAAACACCTCCTGATTACTGCATTGGTACCCAACAGTGTACATATCAATTTTCTTGTGGAAATTCTCTAAGAGTTCTTGTAATAGCCTTTCAACAGTATCCCGCACATTCAGGGCAACTTCTTTTAAAACGAAGACGTTCGTGGGTTGAAAAATTTGAAGTTGAATTGAGGAATTGTTCACTGCAAGGGCCACAATATGTTCTTTATAAGCAAAACAAGCCACATTTTTGTACAAACAAAGTCCATTGTCTTCTAAAACAGTCCATTCTCCATTGGCTCTAGTCAAGCAAGAAACGATAAGACGAAAGTAGAAAAACCACGGCAAAAATTGGAATCGATAGACTAATACGGATGTTTTGCTTTGTAGAGACAGGAAATATCTTTCTTCTGTTATTCCAAATGCACGCTTGTTCATACAAGGAATGTAGTGTGCATAGTTACCAACAGCTATCAGACCAAGACGCTGCATGTACTGAAGAAGGTTAGTTTTTTCTTGATTCCTGTCCCAAAGATCCATTTGAAAATGTTTACTACTCCATATGCCTGTCAGAAGTTTGTCAAGAATAAAACCACTTTTGTTAAAATTCTCCCAATCAATTGAATTTTCTGCAATGTCCCTGACGTGGTTAGGGTCAGTAATTACGTTCTTGAAGGAATCTACAAACCATTGGATATCAATAATGACTGTTCCAGACAGATTATTTTCATGGTAATACAGAATAATACCGATGTCATGAAAGAATTTTAAAACGTCTCCAATTTGGACATGTTTTTCTTTGTTTTCACCAAAACATTTGTTTAATAAGTCAATGTGCGAAAGCATTCTTCTTTCTCGTCTTCTGTTTTCTCTAACGACAACTTCGCACAGAGCCCAGTCAGTGGGGATAGATTCCTTCCACTTATCTTCTTTGGCAATAGCAACTATACACTTCTCTAGTTCTGATAGTGAATCATTGCAACATACGCCGTCTGTCTGAAATCCCAACACAAAGCACCTCGTTCTGTCCAAGTGTGTCCTCAAATGTTTGTTGAAATGTAGTTGATCCAGAATGCTGTTGTAGAACGTATCAGAATTCTACAAAATATGTTTTACAAAAATAACTTAGTGTTAAAACAATACGCATTTAAATAAAAAAATTTTATCTTCTAATGCGTTTTTTCTAAAGATAGTTTAAACCCCATTAGTCCAATTCAACATTTGATGTAAAAAAGAAAAATAAAAAATTTACCATCACTTTAACGCTTCCAGATGGGTTCCAACAATGATAACAGGTGCATTACTATCACAATAGGTGTGAACAGACTTCAACCAAAACAAGAGGTAGTCTGTGCAAGAAACATTTTGATAGTCAAATGAAAAACAGTCTTCAAAAAGAGAGATGTATCATTCACAACAGTGAAACAAAATTGTTTCTTAATTAATTCATACTTAATGTATACCTTTGTTTAGTAAAAAAAAAAACGTGTTACAAGGACTTTAAGCGTACGTCGGTTTTTATAAGTAAACTTCTCGAAATTTCGTTATCGCGTGTTGCTTGATAATATGCGTATATTGTGTGTGTTATTTTTTCTTGTGGGAAACCAATTCACCAAGTTCGTTGTCCACCAAGAACAGTGTTCACAAAATATTGAGTAGCAAATACAGTGAAACCTGTTTTATCCGAAATGATGTGTGGGAAACAGGATCAATTTCAAACAGGACAGAGTGTCCGATTACCCAGTGTTGAATATTTTTTAGCATTTATTACGATTTGTGTCAAATGGTTTTTCATATCAAACATTATCATTCTACATTATACTAGAGGACAAGTGTATTTTTGTCAATTGAAAGTGTTGCATATTACGCGCATGTTTCTTTGTTGTATAAAGTATGCCGTGTAACATTTCCTTGAGAAACAGTTTTCAGATATTTAGATAGCATAACAAAACCAAGGTAAGTCAATTCAGTGGATGGCTTGGAATAATGTCCTTGTAGAGCCATGATCTCTTTTATCAGAGGAATATTAAAATACTAAATCTGATGTCTCTCAAGCAGAGATTTGTGAGCGGTAGATTATTCTTTTGGTCTTTTTAACCTTGAATCTGTGACTTAAAAACCTGCAGTGGTTTTCTTCTGACAAGGTCGTCTGACAAACAAAGGGTTTAACAACAAAAGGTATTTTCGATCATCATCCTCCTATGTATAGTATTACTCTTGTCTTCTGATCTTGTGGTCTAAAATATACTTTTCAAGGAAATCAGTGTACCGACCTTTAATGTGCCATTAAGATGGTTTCGCTCATGTTGAGACGCTCTGGAGTGATATTTAAAACTGCAATGAGATCAATTTCTAAATCTGCAACTCTAGATCTTACCACTGCACCATGCGAGTGACACAACTTTTATGTATGGGAAGCAAAGTTTACTCAAATATTAATGAGACAGCATCTATGACCAGTTTAAGCCTTGACGTTTGACATTGTGACTACTTAATCCACTATAGTCATTTATTTATCAGGGAAATCAAGTGCAGCAAGTTCTGTGTGTCAAGCAAAGGGTACTCAAAATATTGAGTACTCATTTTAACTACGTTCACTTTGACATTTGCACTTTGACTTGTTTACCAATATCTCCATATCCTTCATTACCACAAATAATAATCTACAGTGACCATTTACTTCTCAATCGAAATCAGTGTACCATGTCTCTCTAGCAAAGGATTCATTAAATATTGTGCAGTCAGTATCTTCAAATCTCCACATTGACCCTTGACTTTTAACCCTGTGACGTAAAAATCATTAGTGATAACCTACTCTTCATGGAATAGAAGTGTTTAAGGTTTGATGTATGTAAACCACAGGGATTTCAAGATATGTAGCAAACATCACTTCATATATTCTCCGATTTACCAATAGAACCGATAAAAAAATGTGAAACAATGTGCCTCTTTTCTCACGGCGGGCATAAAATGATTGGAGAAATATTTGTCTCTTACCTCCATATGTCCAATCAGAAAACATTGTCCCCTCTTGTTCGCACAGCGCTGGGTCGACTTTTTCTCCGAATGATTTTGACATATCTATCACCAGTAAATAGAAAGCTCTTCTGCTGAGATACACCTGATGACAGGCGTAGTAAGCACACTGTCCTCCAAAATCCATGACACTCAACAGTTGCTTTTCTTCCTTCTCTGTTTCTTCTGTCACGGCTAAAATTCGTAGTAATTTAAGAACCATCAGATTATTATCATTATCTTACATATTATATAGAATACACCAATTTTCTTTAAATACTAGATTGTGTTTAAAAAAAGCCATTACTTTTGATATAATATCGAGTTAAACAGTTCAAAATGCAATCCTACCTTGACATATACAAAATCAAAAATATATTAGTCTCATAAAATCAGTAAAACGGAAACTATATTGACGCAGGGTCATACAAAAATTACTGTATCATGATGCAAAGACAAGTTAATTTTGTGTTATGTATTTAATTTTTTCAGTTGTAAACTTTTAGTACCTATAGTGGCCAACATTAAAACATTGAAAGGGAAGGTGGTAATGATTGTACAACTTCAATTTTCACTAAATAGGGATGTTTTTATATGACAAAGTTGAATGGTTCTTGCCTCTTGGGAGGAAGGTTTTCATAGAAAGACATCATAGAAAAAAATTATCAGAATGAGTTTTCTATTAAGGTGAGCTAAAATGTTTTGCAATATATATGTTAGGCAGATTTCATCATCTTTTATAAAGACGTCCATTCGGCATAGAGTAAATGAGACATATCTGCGAAATCATCATATAAACAGAATTCTGTATGTCTACTCAAAAAAGCGAGCTTCACATTTTAGTCGCTTTGGCGCAAACATCATTGCACTAAATAATAATCATCCTTAATAAAACATAAATGTATACAAATACAAGCCCATATTGTGTATCGCTAATTTAGGATTACGTCATTAACTTTCTACCAAAAAATTAGGTTCATAAACCCTCTGCTCTCTCATCTAAACGTTGCTTGTTCCTTTATGATTTTCCAAAAGAAATGTGTTTTTTAAGTAAAATACAAACAATTATTATACCTCTATTGATATACTCGAATTCGATTGGCTGGTAAGAAAACTTTAAAACACAACAATGAATCCAAATGGTACTGTTTACAGCAATAATGACCTAGGAATCATTGCACATTGGATATGATAAACGGTCATTATAATAAATGACCGCTAAAAATGACCTCTCAATCAAAAATTCCTTTTTGAGTGATATTATTATATAAAATAATTATTATTCGAGAAGAACAACAACTTTTAAAATTATGCATGATCTGTTTCGCATTATCATACAGAATACGGTAAAATTTTATCGTTAACGTAAACGGTTTACTAGTTTCAATATATCGTTACAATTCAGTTCAGTGGAATGTAAAAGCGGTCCTCTGTGTTAGATCTTGACTGTGTGGAGGAAATGTTATCGTTAGTTATAACAATGTTTGTCGCTATCAACCAAATTTTGTTTTAATCAGTAAATCATGATGCAAAAACTTGCACGACTTCAGACTTGCAGACGTTAATGTAAGCAGCTACACTACACAGTCCCATCAAAGAAAGAATTAACAACGGTTAGAGATTCATACTTTTCAATATATATATCGGTATAACAAAACAATTGATTATCCCTTGTGAGTTCAACATGGTGAAATAAGGACCCTCGACCTGACCAACTCCATAACCTGCCCTGACCTCGGCCATATTGACCTCAAAAGTGGTAATTAATTGTATATTATAACATAGCTTGCGGGAAGAAATTGGACAAAAGAGACACTTCAACTTGGCAAATTTAATAAGGGAATTATAGAAATTTATGTCATTAAGAGTTATCCTTCTTATCAGAGTCAAATGAATGTACCTTAATGTTAACTATTGAATACGACAATTTTTGTAAACGAATAGTAACATGCCTGTATAAAAAAAGGAAACCTTTCACAAGTGCACGAGGGATAAATATTTTCTACTTGTTTAAATAATTATGTATTTTTTTCCTTAAATCTTAATCTACCTTTTTAAGTTATAACAGTTATCTAAGTCGTTGATAGTTAATAAAAGTAAAGGATTTCTCTATTAATCAATATCAGATAGATAAGAAATCAGTGTTAAATTTTTACATGTAACAGGTAAAATTGAAATTAAAATGTTTAAATTGCTTTTTGCTCTTTAGATTAACTATTTTATTTTGCAAAAAACATTAAATATCGACCACAAGTTAGATGTATTTAAGAGTGCAATTTTAAAGTCCGGGGTTTTTTTTTTGCGAAATTATTAATGGATATCAGTTTTCACTTTAAGACAATTAGGGAAACATAATAACCTGTTAAGAAATATTTGTCTTCCAAAATTTCAAAAATGTCCTCGTGAACTTCTAGGCCTACTGTAGATTGAACCTGTTGTAATTCATCAAGAGATCGCTTCTGTAGTCGTTTAAGCAGGGTAGTTTTTCCTGCACCAGCACAACCAACAATCATAGCACGGGACCTGTGGATCGTTTGTGTCCCTTTCTTTGCACATTCTATGTACCTGCATCTTGCATCGTAGTCCCAATAAAGAATTTCTTCTGGAATATTTACTAAAAAGGAATAATTATTAGATCAGAAACTCTACGAACATATACACTAGTCTAATAGTTAAGACATAACTTTCAGTACAAAAAACATAAATACGCGTAAAATGCCTTTCGTATCGAAGACTTTTTAATAGTAACCAATGTCATTAAATAGTGCGCTTGAAATATTGACAAAAAAGCAGATGAATTTTTAGAAAGTTTCAAATGAATTTCAACAAAATGATTAGAGTATGGCATGACATATTTTGTTTATAAGTAACTTCAAAAAACCAAAATCAAGTGGAATTTCAAGTTTAAGATGTTAAAAAGCTTATTATCAAGATGAGCACAAATTGTGTTGGAGTAGAAACCTAGCTCTTTTCAGATTTGTTTCAGATGAACTTCAATAAATAGCAAGATACAGAAATCACTACATTTATGGTATTTTTTGTCTTCCCTTTTTCGGACTTTGAGTTATAAACATTATTGTTTTCATATTCGGTGACATGGTTTATTTTCTGTAAAAGTATTCAATCATTTTTTTATGCAAACGTTTAATTATTGTTTCTTGTTTTATGTTGGCCTTTATTATTTTACCTACATGTACAGTACATATAACTAACAAGTATTTTTATTCACATTACATCTAGACTAACTTAAATTTGTATTTAAAAAGTCCTCTATTTTTTTTAAAACAAAACATAGATAAAGGGTCATTTTCAAACTAAAGTAATTACTGGTTTTTTATTATTATTATTATAGATATTCAATCTATTATTCTTTTGAAATAGAAAATAAAAAAAATTCTTTCAATGAAGTATTTGTTTTAAAATTTTAAGGGAAACCGACTAGCTTACCAAAGTTATATTTCAATGTATTTTCTAAAAATTTGCTTAATTAGGCTGTAAAGATATATAAATCATGGCCTTTTTATGATATTGATATACAAGTTGCTCTAGATATTTATCACAATTGTAATGTAGTCTTTGAAATTAGCTTCAAATTTAATGGAATCTTGAACCCTCTTTTATTTGTTGCAGAAAGAGGAAAAAAAGAGAATATATTTTTCTGTAATATAGATATTTTTACTATACTATTTTTCAAAGGTGCGTAGGGACGGGACCCCGTGTTCGGATCAAGAGCTCTTTTACTTTTTAAAAAATAAAACAGTTTTGTTTTAGTATCAGAGAGTATGAATTCTCATAAAAGGCTAGTCCTAGCTGAAATTTCAATTGTTCAGCTGTAATACTTTGAGATTATTTCATAGAGAAGTATTTTAAAACTTCTCCTATGTTTTCCATTCACAACCCCGGCTAATAGGAGAGTTTTGCCTCATGTTCCTTCACAACCCCGGCTATCCACATTGAACATGAATATTTCACTTTGATATCATCGAAATATTCAGTCTAACACAAGGCTATACCATTATCAGAAATAACTATATGCAACATAACATGTACAATATGTAAGAAATATGCATAAGAGGTCAGAAAGGAAGTACATTTTTGTATTAAAGAACATTTTTCTCCATTTATGGGGGAATTTTATTCAAAAATGAGAAAGGTTCAAAATGCTTTCATAGATTGCAGAGAGGTACACACTTAACGAGGAAAAGACAAATCTTTTAATCTCTTACAGATTCAATATATAAGGTTTGATTTGCATTGGTACTCCCCCTTCCCCCTTTCTGCACTCTTTGTCGCAGGAAGGTTCAAAGTACAGAATTTCCAACCTTTAGAAGATATCAAAATATACCAGAAAGTTAGATTAATATTTTTACAATGATAAAGTGATGGGTTTTTTTTTCCAAGTGACTTTACATTAAAAAATGGAAAAAAGATATAACAGATCAATCAAAAAAAAACTTACAGGTATCACACACAATACTTTTCATCCAGCTATCTTCCACTGTGGCGTGTCTTAAGATGTCAATTCCAATTTTCCTAGTTAATGTCTCCTCCATCCTATTCGGTATGAACACGCACTTTTCTTGTTTCTCACCTTCATACCCCAAAGTACGGACATAATCAAACAACGAGTCAAAGGACGAGAGTTGGATGTAGTTCTTGTAGTCCTCATCAGATAATAAACAGTTTAGAACAAAGTACCCTATCGCCTGATGACGAATATCCTCTGATTTAAACTCTAGTGTCTTGTTTTCTTTGTTCATTGTAAGTAATTTGTCATTGTGTATCAAATCTTGAATACAAAACGTATAATTAGACATTCCATCGTCAGAGCCATTCAGTGACAGAAAGGTATGTTTTATTTTGTCGACTTTTCCTCCAACAATTTCTCTTCATATAAAATACTGTACTTCTCTGACATTAATATGAGTATAAGTATGCTCCATTTTGACTTGTTAAGAACCAATTTCAGAGACTCTGAAAGTAGATTTGTGCAGTTTGAACGTAATTCAAACAATAAACGCTAAAAACAATTAATATATTTCATTTTTAATATCTGAAAAGACTGTTTAAATGTATAAAATATTAGTATTTAATGTAATGAACCAAACTTTAAAATTCTGATCCTTCATAAATCAAATGAAACTGTTTTATATAAAAAAATTTCGTTTTGTAAAATGTGTAAAATTAATAAGAATGTTATGCCTATAATCACAGTTGCAAAAGTCAACGGGAGAAAAACAAACGTCGCTATTGTGACGTCACATAACGCTGCTTTGACGTCGAACGACATAGGTCCCCCCTTAATTGTAATGACTTAACTTTAACAATACCTATCCTTATTAAATAATATATTACGTATTATTGTGCAATAATTGTTGTTTGGAGATCAGTACGATAATTTAGACACCTGAGGAGTATAATATTCACCGAGCCCGAAGGCGAGCTGGATATTGTTCTTCGAAGGTAGCAAAGTCATCGTATTGATCTCCGAAACTGCAAAAATTGTTTTATAATATGATTCAATGATACAACTCAATACTTGTTTAATGTATTAAGAGAAGTCCTTGCCAATTACAAAGAGAGATGTAGAGTTACAATGTGATTAAACATCACCAGTCGTAATAATTTCATTTTTTTTAAATTTATTTATATTTGCCATGAAAAAAAGATATAATATGTCAGGTCCATTTATATGCTAGAGCTCAAAACATATATGATTATCAGGGAAAACTGACAGATGAAAAAAATGAAAAAAAAATATTAATTAATCCTAATATGTTATGTTCACATAAAACTTTCTGCATCAATTTGGAATTTCCATATCTTAGATCAATGAAGAGAAATAAATTCCTTACATTCACCTCGAAGGTTAAGTGCAGATGGATATAAAGTGGTAATTATTCTACATAGTTGTGTCTCGGCAAATCAGAAGGAATTATTAAATATATATAATAAATTTTCTTGTTAACCTTCCTGGTATCCAGAAAGAATTGAATATGTTGAGAAATATCTTTCCTTTTCTTCATCACAGACACCACTTGACCAATCAGTAGGATGTATGTTTCTCTGCTTACAATGGTTCTTCCAAAATTGGACAAATTCTTCGGATTCTGCTAAGATTCTTTCTGGCACTAATTTGTCATCTGTGACTGTATGATACAGAAAATAAATAATCATATTTCTTTGGTTATAAATATTACTCACCAATAACAATAAATAAAAGGGAAGTAAAGGGAAAATCAATATGTATATTAAAACCAAAAAAACGGCCTAATAATAGGGACGCCATCCACTAAAATAACTGTAACTCCGAGGTATTGCAGAATCTACATGAACATGGGAAAATTTCAACTTTCAACAATTTAAAATATGTTAATATATTACAGAATGTAACATGGCTTCTGCTATGGAAAATGAAGTTTTATTCCCTGTATACATGCATTATGTAAAATTTGATTCCCGATTTAAGATCTTAAAATGTTATCACATGGTCCTTCATTCCAGACGTCCCTGTCTTATGCCCTTTACACTGTTTTGTATTGTTTGATGATTTATTTTGATCGATCACTGTTTGTGATCTTTATTCTTTATATTGAAATAAAAAAAAATGAATGAACACAAATTGGAAGTCTTAGAAAATAAATAATTCCATCAGCATTCTTGATTTTTAAAAAGGATTTTACCCTATACCCCCACATTGTATCAAATATTGTTATCCCTATTTTAATTCTACTGAGGTCCATTTGCTTTGACTCAAACAAATTTAATCTGAAATATCAAAGATTGTATATTAATATCAATAAACGAAGCATTCCTATTTTTGACAAACTACACTTCTTTCATACATTAATATAACAAAAAGTGATCCTTTATTTCAATGATTTGAACAATTTAAAATCTGCATAATAAACATTTATCTTTTTGGTTATCTTCGCTACATGTAGCCAAGGGTTTCTGCTACTCTCCTCGTAATCCCTTGGCATACGGTTTTGATAGAAGTTGTTTGTTTGTTTTTCCTCAGTACACCCGTTCGACCAATCAACAATTGTTTTTTTGTAAATGGGATATTTGCGCTTGGAATACTTCTTGACTTTTTAATCTTGGAATTTAAAAGTGCAAGTAAACAACGATCCGTGAGATAACGTGTATTTTTATGAATAGCTATGGTGTCATCTAACATCTTCTAAATATGTGAATGAGAATCTATTTTGAAGCTTCAGATTTGTACTATAATTTAAAAGAATAAAACTTAACTCAATTATTTCTTTTAATCATTCTTGAAAAAAAAACTTTGATTTAATTTTTATAAACACGTGTCTTTATTTCTGTCGATGACGCAATCTGTGCGTACCAGAGATTAGAGATCACGTGACGGAAGACAATACTGTCCTTATACTTCACCGTATTTTAAGGGTTCATGAGGAAAGTAATGTATCAGAAACTCTTGGCTAGCGAAAATGCTTTATGGTTAATGGTTTTTTTTTAATGTTTAATATGTATTTCTATTGTAAAACATTGACCCTTAATTCTTGTTACACTCTGCCCCATGAAGCATAATTTCCATCATTAGACTGTACATAGTGATCAATATTTGAATTTCCTTTACTCAAGGAAACTCTTTGTTAGCATTGTTTAAGGTACCTACATCGGTACTTGATAAAAAAAGATAAAAAGACGAAAATGTGTAAGTTTACAAACAGACAGACACAAGGACACATGACAACAGTGTGACTTTGATAAAAATTTCAATAAACTAAAGTAACTTTCGCTGTTAAAATTTAAAACATTCCCTATTTAGCTGTTTTAAAGTGACAGTATGGCACATCACTTTAAAATCAGACCTTTTAAAATTTTCCTATAGGATTTGGATTTTTTTTTCAAATTCACATTTATACTCTTTCAGTAAATTATAAGTGTCAAAGGTAAATAATTCTGATTATTTCATTAAAATTATACGGTACATAAATATATACATAGCAACGTGTTCGATATTCCTTATTCCGTGCTATGCACGCATGCGTATAGTTTTCATTAACTAAACAGCATGGTAGGAGAGAGAAGCCCGGTAGGCCTGCTACATTGACAAAGTCGACCAAAACGAAAGCAACAATAGGGCTTGGAATTAAAAAGCAACTTTCTTGACAAATAAAATTAGTTGGATATTGATTTAATAATTGGGTGAAGAAAAGTGGACGGGATCTACGCAACAATCACTGGGCTCGCGAAGGTTCTACCCTACAGGATCGTTGATACATGCTATCATTTCTCGTATCTCCATGGCTTTCAAAGAAAACAATCAGTGTAAACTCAACATAAAAATGCACTTAGGACATACAAAAAATATTGCTATTTGAAGTGCAAATTGTGTTGGAACTGCAGAGAGATATTTTGTTTGAATTGGTGGATTTTCCTTTCCTGTCCCCCAATTCACAAAACATCAACATTTGTACTTAAGGTAAAGATCCATACCATCCTATAGAAATAACGGAACTACAGATTTTGTTGAAACTTTTCAGAATCTTAACTGAGTATTTGTCCTTTCCAGATCAGTGTAAATTTTGGGGTCAACCGGGCCTCCTTTTGAAAGGATTGTTACTAAAAATAGACATTGTCTCGTGAAATAACGGAAATGCTGTAATTAAGATATCTATGCTAGGTTTCTAAATGTAAAAGCAAAAGAATTTTTTAAACATATGAATTATAGAGAAAATATGTTTGTTTAACGGTTTAATTATTTTTTTAATCTGCTGATCCACCTAATATTACTTTCTAGGGCAAATTAAACATATTTAGCTAAAAATTATAAAGTTCATTGTTAGTAAAAATAAATTGCTGCTTGATATTCTAACAACAGATTTCTTTTAAAAATTAACACGTTATTTTCCAATAGTCTCTCTCTTGTATGGCATAAAAACTAAGTGGGGCAGCGGGCATCAAACAAGAAAATTTCACATTTTTATACCAAATTTGCTGAAAAATGATTATTTGAAAAATCTTTTTAACATCTATACTTTTATGATTTGGGTGCAAAAATCGCTTTAAATATTTTAAACTATCGTTAATAGAAAATTAATAAGTATGGTTTAAATTATAAGTTAAATATTTAATACAGAGACGGCCAATAATTCGTTTTCGCGATTTACAGGTATTATATTAATCGGGTTCAATCTTCGGAATATTCTATATACCGTTTTATGTGACGTTGTGACGGAAGTGAAAGAAGAAAACACTTTCAGTTTCAACATTGGTCGTTTGGATGCGATTTATTTGATTAAAAAATGAGAGAAGTGGCACATTTTACTACTTTTTGTGTCTACGTAATACATTTTTCGCTATTCATAGATACAAATAAGTGGTTTGTTTGCCACATCTTTTTAACGTCTGGTTTCTGATCTAAGGAAAAGCTCGGATCTGTCTAAGTAAGGTGCAACGTTGTTTATCATATGTTTTTATCCATGTACAAATAGATAAAATCTATGTAAGCGGAGATGGATATGTTCAGTGTTTCTACTTTGTAATGTCTGATCTAGGTTTTCCGTACCTAGGCTAACTCAAATTCGTTTCATAAATTCTAAACTCCATAGTTGATGACTGGAATTGCATTGAGTGCATCATTACTAAAACTTTGAAAATTAATTAGTAAAATATGAACACATTCTACGGTGACATGTTTGAGTAATCTTATATGCCCATCTGTCTAAACTCAGTCAACATGCTCAGACAAACCCTTACTTTCATATAATGTGAGATGTGAGACACAAGCTTCTTAATACATGTATGAATATTATGGTGATATTATTGAAAATGTGAATCAAGACTAGAAAATTATTGAAAAAGAGAAAGAAATTTAACATTTATTCTATAGATAAGTATGTGGTTACTGTTTATGTTTCTTTAAAATCAATAAGGTTATAAAATGAATTATCTGAAAGAGTTCATAATTAGAAGGGTTAAAGTAGTTCTATACTCGCACTACGTCATTTACGAATAGTAAAACCGGAACCGCGCGTTCTTTTTCCGAGATAAGAGTTTTTAACTATATTGGTTTGAATTTTACTTAGCGTTTTAATTATCCGGTAACGATTTTGCTCGAAGTCGGTCGCGTCAACAAACACATATTGTACAGTTTAACTTAAGGATAAATTAATTAAAAAGAAAAGGCTTGGAACAACTATCGGTTGACAGAAATAATTAGGTAATAAAACGATATTTCTGTGAATGATGCATGTTTTATATGCCGCGTCGAAAACACGGACCATATACATGCTACATCAGAACATGACTGTATCAAACTATCGAGGCGACTATTGTCGGCGGCCAAGTTGAAGCTAATAGTGATAATTTGGAAGAAAAGTAATGACTACGACTTGACTTAGATAATTTATGGATTTTACTAATCAAACATTACAAAATTTACTTTAAATAATAATAATTGCATAAAACACATACCCCCTCCCCCAACCTGCTTACCCACGAATCCCAATGCAAAATTATCTTTTGAATAAGTATTTGACAAATGTTGATTCACTTGCAGCATACTTTGTTACTTTCTGTAACGAAATCATCCAGTTTCTGAGAATCAGTGAATTACTTTCATTTTCATCGTCTCCAATTCAAAGAAAAGTGTGTTTTTATTTTTTTTTTCGAGTAAAATAAGATAAATTTTAGGGTTTTAGGTTTTGGGTGTGTATAATTATTGTTTTAAATAATGTACAAGCTTGTTAATACAAGTATACACTGAAACATTAACAGTATTACAGAAATATGTGGCAATACATTACTTCTGGAAGAAAGAAAATAGGGGGGTACCTTTAGTGTAGAGCTCATACCACGAAAAGTAATGCGTCAACATATAATTTTTTTAAGCTTATTATTTTTCTAAAATATAATTTAGTAAAAATAATGCAAATTTACGAAGTTTGAGTCCATAATTTTTTTTAAATGACCGAGATTGTCCTGAGAAGCATATTTTCTCACATTAAATTTTGATACAATAGGCTAACAAAGTGCATCTATTTATAATAATTCATGCAAAACAATGATATTTTATTGTTTAATAACATGTTTCTACTCTATTTTGGGTATTAAAGTTGAATATTTAGACTTAAATTAATTTATATACAACAAAATCTAGGATAGGTATAATTTC